ATATTATTATTACTATTATTATTATTATTATTATTATTATTATTATTATTATTTTTTGTTTCTTTATTTCGTATGTTTATTTGAATTTGTTTCTTCCTGTCGGTATATTAGCGCCTATCTCGTGTTTGCTTGATCTTATCATTCTTTCTTTGTGTAAGTGTATGTTTTATGCATGTGTGTGTTCAAATGTGTGTACGTGTATTTGTTTAATATGATAAAATAACGTATGTATCCTTAAAACGAGACGCCGAGATATCAAGAGATATCATAATCATCATCACCATCATCACCATCATCACCATCATCACCATCATCATCATCATCAGATTCGGTTAGCGAATAAATTCTCGTCTGTTGACGTATCCTTAATCGTGACGATCACTCGATGACTACTGAAAATCGAAAACTATAGAAGTCCTGGCCCGAAAATGTCGCTTTTGGCCAACGAAATATTCTCTTGGAGGCTCTTGCAACGGCGCCGGTTACCTCCAGCAAGGCATCGATCACTCACTTGGTTTGATTCGATTGTTGTTCCGACGCCGGAGTAACACCAGTTGGTGATACGTTGTTTAAAGATCTAGTAACCGGGCCTTTGCGTGCCAATTTTGATCTAAAACAAGTGATTTCGACAACAAGAAAATATTATCATTAACTACATTATTATTTTTAGATTTTTTACATTTCATACCTTATCTGGCCAGCTAATAACGGATTTATAGCGTATAACCAATCATACACTTCTTTGTCACCTAATGTCTGAAGAAGGTATCCACGATGTTTTGTTACAACGCTAAAATAAATTATAATAATAATAAATAAACCAAATGAAATATATTTTATTTATTGCATATAACAATAGCCGCAATGAAAAGTAATTAATTGTTTATTTACCTGAACGTATTTGGTACTTTAACCATAGCTAACTGATCTTCTGAGTATTCTACTTGAGCGGTTGCTAAATTAATCAAAGCTCTTTCTACGGGATCTTTTTCTTCTCGGAAAATTAAAACGTACGGTCGACGTACTGCCTAAATATCAATGAAAAAAAAGTAAATCAAACATCGTTTGAACTTTCTCTTGTAAACTGGTAATATTATTTTTAATTTATTTATACTACTTACAACCCAACGTTTCTTCCATCCGTTAGTCTTGTGTTCTAATACATTTAAATATCCTTTCCTAGCAATAACAGGACTGATGCGAATTTCTTCAACTTCCGGTACATATAACACTAAATTTTCTTTCGAAGGTGAAGAGGATCCCATTGGTGCTGGTGCTGTACAAGACTGACCGATCGTTTCGCTAGTTAACATGCTTTCTTGCAATTCTTGCAATTTGGCTCTTTCGGGTGAACTTAATCTGTAAAAATACAAAATACAAATAAAGTGTTCAATGTAAACGTTGAATTTATAAAAATATTAAAAAAAAAATGAAATGTAAACTAACTCTTGAGAAGATGAAGATAACACTGATGATAGCATAGATGCTGACATGTCTCCCATCGTATCTTCTCCTGGGGAAACATCAGATAATAAAATCGGTTCTTTGCTTGGAATTCTACCTTGAATAAGTTTAATATATTTAGTTGCCAATTCTCTTTCCCTATCAGTCATCTCCCAAGGTTCATAAACGTCTTTGCTCGTAGAGCGTTTGAGTTTGATAGGGCTGGCGTGTGACTCGTTCGTAGCTTTTGCAACCATGTTACAAACCTCCTGTAAAACAATATAAATATGATAATAAAAAATTTCCATAATCCCTTTATTATTTTCAGCATGAAATGTAAAAAAATTAAAGCAGCCACGTTACACCGATATTTTATTGTTTATTAAAATTTATCAAAGTATATGTTTAATTTTAATTAGGTATTAAGAAAATATGGGATACTTTTAATGTTTACTATGGTTCAAAAAAATAAAAGAATTTAACTCACTTTCTCGCTTTTTGTGAAATCATGTAACGGTTTATTACACATAGGCATTTTATCAATACCAAGTTTCTCTCTTAAAAGTAAAGTATGTCTGACCCTCTCAACCTCTTCCAATCTGGTTAATTTTTCAAGTTCCCATTGATGATCAAAGATCAGACTGTCACCTCGTGGTCTCCAACCGTGAAGATTTTCTTCACCTCTGACGTAAGTTGAACTCGTATCTAATACGCGACGTTGTCGCCTTTGTACGCCTAAGGTAATAAATAAAAAAAATAAACAATTTCCGATAGGAAAATAAACAAGTAATTATAATATATAATTATTGAAATAAAACAATTTATAATATGTTTACTGAAATGTCTGCACGAAGCTTCGCGTTCGAATAATTAGGCGAAGCTGATGTACGCCTGATAGAAGAAGAAGCAAGATGATTGAGATCGTTGTAAGTACTATTACAAATGCCAAATATATATATAGTAAGAGCACCAAGGATAAATAATCAACATTATCGTCATACGGGAAATGTTCACATAATTATTATGTCTTTTTCATCTTCTATGAGCTTTTGTTTTTCATAATAATAATACGACCAGTGCAAACGTTTTAATACGCTGTAACTTAGGATAAATAGTAGCAAGCTGCTACACTAAGGGATACACAGGACAAACCTGGGCTACCTGCTTCCGATGAACGTCGCAGCACCAATTCATAGACGCCGCTAAGTCGATTAGCTTCTTGGTTACGATAACTTCCACTGAACAGATGTTTCAATGATCTTGGCCCGATTCTGGCATCTCTGCCATAAATAATCATGCTTAAATCTTTTGTAATGATAGCTGGTCTACCACAATTCTCCAACTATAATCAAATCAAAAGATTCAACGATATTTTTTATCCTAGGAAAATAATTAATTCTTTTTCTTTTATAACAAAAACAAAACAAACCTCAAGGTATGCGGAGATGGTCATGAAAATTTGTTCACCATAAGACGTGACCCTGTTGAGTAAGGCCGAATTGTGCAAAGAACTGTCCCAGGCCGCTTCGAATCTGAACATACACCTGTCGTCACCTTTAACTTCTAAATATTCACCTGGGAATAATCCCAATGAAAGTACAGACGAATCGTTGTCTTCCTCTTCCGGTTCTGGGGTATTTCTAATACGACCTACTACCAATTCTCTTACATCTTTCCATCGTAATTCTGAAGCAGGCTCGTGTACTATGGTGATACGAATACGACGTTGAATTCCTTGATGTAGGAGGAATAATCCGCGGCAGGGTAAATCATCGCTATGATCCACAACGGATGAAACGTATTCGCCATTCGGTGCTAACTCACAAATTTCAAACCACACGAGTACGTCATATTTTGCATGAATGTGCGACGTACTAGGGGATGGTAAAACGCTACCAAACTTTGGTGAACGTACTGGTTGACTTATTGGTATTGATGGTGGTAACATCCTTTTCGGTGGTTGTCGTACGCTACTAGGTAAATACAAAACAAGTTTTAGTCATCCTGTATTAAAAAATAATTGAATAAATGTCTGGAAGGAAAACCTTCAATTTTGTTCTTGTCTATATTACAAATTTTCCAGACACCTATTCCATTTAGTTTTAATATTTACTAGTTTTAGTCTAATACATACTAGTTTTAATATATTAATATTATTATTTTATATAAATCGTTTACTGACTATTCCAGTTTAGCATCCTTGTGTAACGGATGTTGTTGATAATGTCCGAAGATCTCAAATACAATCGGTTGTGATTTAAGATACTCCAAGAAAGATTTCGTGACAGTGACAGTAATCTACATGGAATATTAGAACGATATTAGTAGGTAATCGTTCGAATTTGATTAAATAAAATTGTCCTTTGTTCTATTTACATTTTGTACATGATAAAATCCAGGTGGACATCCTTTGTTGGTATTCTTTACCGATTCCGTTGAAAATGCTTCATCATGTCGGTGTAAGAAACTATAAAAATTATCAATTGAATTTTGATTCTAACATTTATCAGGTTAACAATTTTTAAATAAATTATCTTGATAATATATTATTATTTACATACTTGAATTGACAGAAAATATCAGCATATTCGGTTGAGATACCCATTGCTTGTAACACCGTAACTCTAAATGTGAACTCAGCACCAAGTTGTAAATGATCTGGTAAATCTTCTTCCTTCATATCACTGGAAACAGAACTATCACCTCTTCCACTATCTGCATCACCAATATCATCTTCATCTTTCAAATCCTTGTGTAATTCGTTATGACCTATAACGCGATCATCGTTCATGAGTATTTGACGATTCTTTTCCAATGTTTGAGCCAAAAGTGTGTTGCGTTTGTTATGTTTGTGTCCACCGAATAAATCATCTTCGAATGAGATACGTGCAGACTGTCTAACGCCGCTGGAGTACTCGCTATTTTCTTCTCCTAAGAAAGAAATTCAAAAATAATAATAATAATTGTATTATTCTTAATTAAATCTATTAATATATGTTATATATTATATGATCCAAAGCCCAAATAAAGGAAGAGTGTTCGAGAGCAAGGCTAGCAACCTACCCTCGGTAAAAAAAAAATAATCGCTATTATATGTTACATAATATATATGTAATATATGTTGTATTATAAATATATGTTAAAAAATTATATGTAATTGTTATATTATTTGTTAATATTTACCAACAACACCTTGCACGGCTACTCTCAAATAACCTTTGACATCACCTTTTTCGTTAACTATAGCAACTTTGTGAATAAGTGGTACAGGATACATCAAATTGCTAAGATATACGAATGATCTATAAATTGAAATTAAATATATCAATGTTTTAATCACACATTAAATAAATTTAATATTAAAAATAAAATTATTTACCTTCCAACCATACGGAACCATGGGAACCGATCATAAAACGGATCACCACCCGTGATAGTTTCAATATTAAAATCTGGTGATGTAGGTGAAAGTTCAGCCTCATTGTGATACATTTCACGCATAGTTTCTAACCTTTGCCTATATAAACATTCATTTCATCAATCAAATATCAAATATATATGTTTTTTTTTTAATATCAAACTGATCTTCTCTCTTACCTTAATTTTTCCAAGGTCCAATAATGTGTAGCACCATTTTTTGTATCCTGAACTTCAACGGCAACGATTGTGCGAGGGAATGGTCTTTCTTCTTCATCTTCATCATCAATTGCAATTGGTAAAAGATCTTGCGGTAGTGGCGAGTATAGTGTATCCGTCAATAACGTAAATTGGAACTGAACCTGTAATCCAAATAACATGAAAATTATCATAAAAATTGCGACAACATATAAGACAACTCTCAAACGGTACAACTTTAATTAACCTGATTTGTGCTATTTTTTAAATTTTAATTTAACACAGTTTCAATATACTACCTTGTACCAAAATTATAGTTTAAAACACAATTTCCATATTGCACAAATCAACTTGGACAACATTCAAACAGCACAAATTTTATTTACCTGATTGTGCCATTTTACTTTACATGGTTTCATATAAGATTGAACGAATTGACTTCATGTTTAGAAGAGGTGAGAAGTTTAAGGGTATACAATATTTGTTCCTAGATGATTCTTACCTTTTTCTTAAGTTCAACCGATATTGCATTGGCTTCCTTGAGGAATATCGCATTGCCCCATAGATCATCTCGAAGACTGGTAAACTGATGATACTTCCACTTGCGGAAGGCCCACGCAGCCAATTGGAAATCTCTCTCGGTCCAGTTGCTCTCTGCGTCAAACAAGGGGTTGACTGAAATGCAAGCCATCACAAGGCAAAACAGTCAGAAAAGCCAAGCATGTACCAATGTCTTCGTCAACTACGCTCTACGATAATCAGAATGATCGGGTAGTACTAGTGCATCAAATAACAAATGAAATGATCTTTGCGTATGAAACAAAATTTTAAATATATATACCAAATGATTTGAAAATAATGAAGGAATGAAATGATCATGAACTTTTGAATATATAAAAACATACTAATTCAACGAACTCTAACGAGAGTGTGATAAAACGTGCCAAATGGTGAAACGATTAACTTATGTTTGCATAAAGTAAGTAATTCGTTAAAATACGTATTAAAACTCTATTGAATATTAATGTGAAATCGATTAGTTTATTAATACATTTAGTGTCGTAAAATATTGAACTTTTTGTTCAAGTCATTTAAAATTGTGACTGTTAATACGTGGGTCATATATGACCCATGCAACTTATATACGAAAGGTTAACGAAAATCAATTGAACAGAAAATGTGTTAATATTATTATACTAAGCGATTTCACAGCTATTTCATTATCATACATACCGAATATATCTTCTTCAGTATTATTGAAATCCTCTGGTGTGTAACTGCTATACATTGACATAGTCATACTTTGTTCTTCTACCTGCTTCTGCAAGGCATCTATTCGTGCTTCGTAACTCTATTGTCAAGAAAAAAGAAAATAAAATAAAGGACTTCAGTTTTACCACCATGTTAATGCAAGGTAAGAAAAAAGTGAACTGGGGTAAAAATGAAAAAATGGCATGCATTTATCTTACCTTGCGTTGTTCCTCGAAGAATTGATCGGCCTCTTCTTTCTCTTTTCGAAATTGTTCCTCGAGTACCATCAATCTCTTTTCCATTTCCAATTTGAGATCGATACCTTGTTTCTCTAATAATTCAATTTGTGCGAAATTCCAGTCAACGGTCTCACCGTTGCCGGGGGTCTCGGCGGGTGAATTTTTTTCTCTTCGTTCACGTACTATTTGTTTAAAGAAAATAAAATAAAAAAATAAAATAACATTTTCCCAAAATTGATTAATTGAGTCAAATTATGCAATTAACTATCACCAACCCTTAATGTTTACGGTTTGAAGATTTTAATTAAAAAAAAAAAAAAAGAAAAAAAAAACAAAAAAAATAATCTTATATAACATTACTCGTTATTGTGGTTGTTTGACAATGTTTCTTAATGAGTTATTTAATAACGAATAGTATAAATTCCGAGAAGCATACAGCTTTACTTTCAAACAATAATTACAAGTTATTATTTTATGTTTTCCAATGACTCATGTAATATAATTTCAAAGTAATTTGAAAGTTCTCAATCAAAACTATGTTTATATATTGGTTGGTTGATAAATTAGTTTCAAATGTGAGATCACAAAAATGTAGAATCCTTATTAGGTTTAATAAATTTAGTATTATTAAGAAGTCAACAAATTCTTGCATAAATTAACCCAATCATAAGTAGGATAGAAAAAAAATTTGCAAAAAAATAACGAAGACAATAAAAAGTACCTTGATCAGGATGATTGAACCTAAATACATGATTTTTGCCAAGAATAACGCGTGATCCAGTTTTGAGTACGATCGGTTCGGTTATTTCACGACCATTAACATAAATCAAAGCATCTTTTTTAGGCATCAGAGTGATAACACTTTCATGATTTTCAAATACGCAATGCTCGCTCAATATATGTGGACCACAAAGTTGTATATCTTGTGGTATATTAGCTTCAGCGCTTCCAATACGCGTAAAACCATCTTTGATATAATAAATAAGACACTCGGACATCAAGGGATCCTCGTTTAGATTAACCAAGTGTGGGGTTTTCTTTGGTGAAAATACACCAACCGTTACACCATCTTCTTTCACTGCTACACCCATTTCAGCGAACACGGCTTCGCGTTGGAGTCGAATCGATTCGGTTCTCTTCAATTTTTCTTCCCACGTTTCGTTTAATTCTAAACATTATTATTTATTATTTTATATTAAAATGATGTATTAATATAAATATGAATTATTATTATATGTACTATTATATCAGGGCTTCTCAAATTTGTTCTATTTAACGAGTACCATTTACTCCAACAAACCCTAGTAGCACAAAATATTAAAAAATATTGAATACATATGTATTTAATATTAAAAAGAGATTCAATGTCTTATAATATTTTTCAATATTTCGTGCTACTAGGGAACATTTTCGCAATTCTCTATGATATCTTCTATTTCACTATCATTAATATTCACGGTAACACTAGAAGATTTCTGTTATGTTACCAAAGTCCAGGAATTTGTTAATTTAAATCCCATATGGGGTCATAGAAAGTCACGCTTCGAGAAGCTCTGGTATATAAAAATATATATATATGAAAAGAGTTTAATTAAAAACGATGAGAAAAAAAAAGGAAGAATTCATTACTTTTTTTCTTTCATTTTTTTTTATGGATGAAAAGTAAGGATGAAAGACGATATTTATATATATATAAAATGTTACGTGATATTTTCATTTACCGGCTATTAATTTCTCTGATGCTTGTAACTGATCGACCGCTTCTTCGGCAATAGTCGAAGTTGTGTGAGAGGGAATTCTCGCACGAGATTCTTTGTTGTAATCATCCTCGCGTTTATTCGTTCGAATGATTTCATCCCCTGCAGATTATAAGAAAAGACAAAATACAATATTTAATATACTCTCGAAGATTTCTTTATTCATTTATCTTTTTTTTATTTTTTTTTTATTTTTTTCTATTTTTTTTTTTTTTTTATATATATGAAAAGAAATTATTTGTCATGATTAATTGTCTTTTCTTTTATTACTATTATTATTTTTATTATAATGATCTTTATCAATTTGATTATTATTATTATTATTATTATTATTATTATTATTATTATTATTATAAATATCGTGCTCGTGGTGGAGCGACGTCAAATATTTTTTTTTTTTTAACAAAACACACACAAAGCCATAACTTTAAGGCAATAGCATAAGCAAAGAGATTTTATTGACGCTTTCGTCTGCTCCCTTTTATTTATTTATTTATTTTTTTTAATTATCATTTACAATGAATAATAATTTTGATCTATATTATTCATCTAAATAATAATCGTTCAAATAATTTATCTATAATTTTTTAATCTACACGTATAACATAGATTTTAATATTTTTTGTTTGTAGTTAGAACATAAGATGATTATTTCAGATAAAAAATAATTTCTAAAAATATTGAATTATTTTCTAAACGTAATTCTAGGGAACGAGGCGAAATATTAGCAGGGTGGTGATGAGAAAAGCATGATTAATAAATATGACGTCAGACACTATTATGTAATCAGGTTAAAACACATAGAAACAATTGTTTTTTTTTTTTATCTAACAATAAGATTTTTATACGTACGAAGTGTCCCAGTTTTTTTCCCATAAAATTTTACGAAGCAAAACTGGGTCACAACTTGTACGCATAAATTCTTATTTCTTTTTTTTTTTCCTTTAATAACATTTTCTTTTATGGGGAAAGAAGAAGAAACTAACATATCGACAAATTTTTAAAATGAATGACATCTGAAAAGTGAATTATTATTGAAGAATAATTATCTATGTCAAATATAATAATATATATAATATATATACACCTAACAGATAAGCTTTTTTTTTAAGCGTATATACATGCTACTACTTCAAGAACAACGAATCGCATAAATCAACACATTTTATCTTTTTAATTATTATTGTATTATTTGTTCATTTAGAAACGAAAGATTTTTTCAAATTTTCTTTCAATAATATAAATTTAATTATACACAATCGATCGTTGTAAATTATTAAATAGAATATATATATAAATAAAATATATTCATGCAATATATGTGAATAATAATATTAATAATAACAATAATAATAATAATACAACAATATTTGATATAATAAATGCAGCCATAATTCAGCCTGATTCTACCATGCATTTATCCTTATCATCTTACTAGAGGATTTTTTGCACATTCATGCAGCATGGTAGGCGATATATATATAGTAACTTTAATTATTTTTTCTTAATAATTGTATATTAATTATTCAAAATAATTGATTGTTAAAAAAATGCGATTCGTTATTTTCTTCATCGCGCATTCGATACGCTTCAAATGTTAAATTCAACAATCTAAAAACTTGTAATCATATTATTTTGCAATCTAATACTATCATATGAAAATACTATTATATTTTAAACAATGAATTGAAATGTAACTATATCTGTAACTTGTCATGAAAATTATTTCTAACATGTGCACACTGATTTCTAAATAATTTTTTCTTTACTTTTATTATAACATTTTGTTCTATTTCATTTACGTTCTTATCATCTTTTTTTGTTATTATTATTAAATTTTTTGTTTATGTAGGGCAGACATATTGGACACATTTTCAAAACGGCGGAATGGCTAAACATGTAAATAGATTTAAAAAAAAAAATCAAAATAAAAAAGGGTACTCTCGCGAAGCAATATATAGAAATATGTATAAACAATTGTAGAAGAAAAAAATTGATAAAAAAGATCTGCAAAAATATGAAAGTGTTATGAATATTATGCAATTGGCCGTGATAATAGAAGCATATATTGAATAAAAGGCACAATGGTACAATTGCCTTGCTTGGACGCTGCTTAAAATTGCCGTGTTTACTTGTCATTCATTGACATTTAAATATACATAATTTTTATTTTTTTTTATTTTGTTCTGCTTTTTTTTGATTAAATTTCTTTTTTTGTTAATTGTTACTTACTAGGCTCTTTCTTTTCATAAGTGACTTTGCCATCTGGCCCTACGTTATGCATAAAAGGGACAAAGAAAAAAATACTATATAAATAGCTTACCTACGGTGCACCATATACATTATTAGATTAATTTCGTTAAAAAGAATATAGTTGTATTCTTCTTCTTTATCTAATTTTTCTTTATATATATCTTTCCATTTCTATTCTGTGTTTTTTAAATTAGCAGCAACATAGATTATAATATCTCTGAATCTAAGTACAAATGTATATTAATATTTCTTTTTTTTATGGATATTAGATTATAATTAAGAACAGGAATATATTTTATAATATAGGTGATGAAGTGTTAATGACTTTTATATACAACGAACTACTACATTGTTCTATTTCATTCAAATATTAAAATATATTATTAAAATATTTCAATTTATTATGACACACCCGGTATTATATTTTTATTAAAAATTGTACTATACTGCTTTTTCGTTATACTAATATACTATTATAACTATTTATAGGTTTATATATGGAAATTATTATTCTAAAATAGTCACTGTTTTCATTTTTTTTAAATGGTCACTTTACAATTGGAAATGTTGCATAGTTGAAAAACAAACGACATTGTTAAAGAATCTTTGTAACTCACCTTCTTGAACGTCGATTCCTTCTTGTTTGAGAAGTTCACGTAGTTTTTGTATTTCTTCTTTGAGTTCTCGAATGAGTTTGGCATTCGCGTCCTCGTTAACGACAGCTTTGCAAACAATTTGTTTCGCACGATCCGCATATCTATAAAAAAAATTACCAATAAAAATTTATATTAATTACAATTTTGTTATTTTTTCAGTCGTTAAATAAATAAATAAGAAAACAAAAAATATAGTTACCTTAGGGTTGATAAAGTTTCATCATAATTAATGTCAGCTGGACTAATTGCTGCTATCATAGCAGTCTTCGAATTACCACCAAGATTTTCACGTAATAACCACGTTAATACTGAATCTCTGTAGGGGATGAAATCGGCCTTCTTTTTTTTCTTGGTAGCCTGAAGATTTATTTTACCAAGAATATATTTAAAAATGTCTCATGAATTTTTAATAAATTAAAATATTCCATTTAAAAATATTATCGATTTTACAAATATACAGTACAATTAAACTTACCGCCTAATTGTCCATTAAATGGCATACAAATTAATGGCAGCAAGTGATAAAAATATTCATGGAAGTTAAAAATATTCGAATAATAATAATTCAATTCTAAAGTTAATATTAAAGTTAAGAGATATTAAAGAATAATCACAACAAAAATATACTAACGATTTCAGCCAATGCGCTAATAACTTTTCCAAGTGTGGTAAGACTCTTGTTAATATTTGCACCTTCCTTGAGCCTTGTACCTTTAGCACCAGTCGAGTCGGCTCTTTCAGAACCTGCTAAATCGACCAGAGATATTTTACTAACTTTCTCTGTTGCTAATCCAGTCGTTGAATCTTGTCTTTGTTGTGTAAAGAAGATCGTAAATACTGCGTGTGATCTACTGGATGTTTCGTTCATATTTGTTGCTGCAACCGTTCTATACAAAATTACAAACATAATTGACAAAGACAATTGTAAACAAATGAATCATTTTTTTTATATTTTGTTTAATTATTTGTACAAACCTTGCTTTGTTTCCTTCGTCTATGAGATCATGAATATCTTGATAAGACATCACAGCTAATTTGGAAAGATCCTCAACGTAAGGTCCAAGAAGAGGATGTTCACGTACACGTAAATTTCCTTTGTTCTTTGGATTTAACAAATCCCTAACTCTCTCGCAATAAATCTCCATATAACTCACCTCAACCGAATATTTCAATTGTTCGGATGAATTTCGACTTATTTTACGAAACAAATCTTTACAAATTTGAGGTATTATTCCTTCTTGACCATCTTCCTGTTTACCCATCATCGTATAAGATTTTCCAGCACCGGTCTGTCCGTAAGCAAATATACAAACATTGTAGCCTATAATAATAATAATTCATTTCAAATTATCGTCATCGTTATTGTTGTAATAATTAGATTGTTCAAATTATTTTTAAGTTTCATTTGTTACCTTCAAATGCATGTTCTAACATTTCCTCGCCTATGTCTTTGTAGACCATAATTTGTGATGAATAATTAGACTCGCATGGCTGTAATATTTGAAATTTATTTGTTATTTTTATCTCTCTTATAGTTAAAAAGAAATATAATTGTTGAATATACTCACGTCCATGGAAAAGTACGAATAATCATAATTGAAGCTTTTTATTGCATCCTTACTGCCAGCTGGTACTTTCGGATTTACTATTGCTATTGATTGAAAATATTTCAAGAATTATTATTTTCTTTTATTCCATTCTTATTATTTTGTAATTACATTTATATATATTGCGGCATATATTACTTACAAGTAGTATTGCCTGACATTTCAATGATGCATTGTGCTTCGCGTGATATTTCACGATTGTTAAAGGGTCGAACCCTCACCGCTACTTTCACCGACGACATCTTTGCTTTTTTCTTTTTACTCCTTCAACGTTCCTTACAATTATTATAGTCACGTTATTATTATGTGCCTTTGGTCAGGTCTCTCTACGATATAAAACAAATATAAAAAAAAGTATATTAGAAAAACTATATTAAAGTAAACTTAAATCGTTTATACATTTTAATCGACTTCCATTTTGAAATTTTAAATGTAAATTATTTCCACATCGATTCTAACAAAAACAAAAGTTAAAAAATGAAGTTTACAATTTAACTTTTATTATCGGAATATTTAAATGGAATTTAAAAATAATTTTACGTTTCAGTTAGGGCAAACTATCAAACGATAAATAATTTCAAACCTGTGAGATCATTTCTAAATATGATCCAATCAAAAACGAGAAGATTTGAAAATAATTTCACAAACTAATAATTTTATTTCTTTTTCTTTTTTTGTGTTTTTTCTCACAGTAAATAAATTTGAGAAAAAGCATGTCAATCGAACGGAATAATTTAGAGATTCATTTGATAATCACACATAAAGTCAAATAAATAATTTCACGTTGTGATAGTCATGTTGAAAGAAATTGATTGGATTGGACTGAATTATTTTGTACTCCAATGGAAAGTAAATTGGTAGGAAAGAAAATGCAAATTTTCGTACGCGTTAATTATGGAATGACTCAGAGTGCTCGATTATGTACACACACATGCGCTCTTCCATACGGTTATCCTGGCACACGAACAATTTGTAACATAGAGCTTTTTTTTCTCTCACACTCTTAGTTATATATATAATATACATTTATTTGAGCGTATGTGTATGTACTACGTAGTTACTCGTAAATATAACGAGATAACATCGACGTATCCCATATTATTTTAATTAACAAACAACTTTAATACTCAAACAATCTAACGAAATATTGAACTAACAAATCCAAAATTTAAATAGACACACATGAGAAGACAGATATTCTATTTAAAATACAGTAAAACGAATGAAACAATTTTCCGAAAATGGTATAAACGATAAATCAATAAGGTCTGTGCCATTAGAAATGGAAGAGATTCTACTCGTCGTTTCTTATTCGAGGAATCTAGAACGCTATTCGGTCAATAATTCTAATTCCTTCGAATTGATTATAAAAATTCGAACTGAGAGAAATATTACTTCGATTTCAAAATATGTTTCGAATTTTTTTTTAGAAGATTAATTTTTAATAATGTTTCAACAATTTTATACATCACTACCAACGTTCAACACACTGATATAAACATTCTCATTCATACGTATATTTAATAAGAAAAATTAAATGCACCAGCAATGAGTCAAAGATCTCACTCAATGATGGAAAACGTTGAGTTGTACTACTTGAAGTAATACTACTAGTCCGTATTTAAACGGACTTCTTCTCCTTACGTGATGCAACTCGACGAATGGCCGTACAAGTAGAACGAGACGAGTGAAATAGTCAGCCATTTATAAAATCGAATATACACTCATATTTCGCACTATAATCCATTATAACAACCATTTTAAAGACAAATTTCAAAATATCAAAACCAATGTAATAATAAAAACTCTCTAATTGTAAGCATCATTATTAGTATAATAAACAATAATTAATAAAACATATAATAATAATAACAAAAATCGAAGAATGTGAACACGAAGAGATAAATAGGGAAGGAGAGAGAGACGAGGTCAGGTCGACAGCAACGAAAGGCAACGATTCGAAGAAAACTGAGAAGTTCTAAACACCGAAAGGGATCGAATCTTTCCGAAGGACGTTCGAGAAGTAACGAAACGAAAGATAGACACAAAAAGAGAGAAAGAGAGAGAGAGAGAGAGAAAGTAAGGAGTGGGATAAATGAGAAAGGCATCGTACCGTGATCGATAGAGAACCGGGTTGGTTGGTTCGAGTTTCAAGGGAGTTTGAAAAGACAAAGAGAGAGATAGATATATAGATAGATGGATGAAACGAAATAAAAAGAGATAGATATATCTACCATGCATGTATTGAAATAAGAAACCAAAAAGGGGGTTATTGTGTTGAGTGTCCAAAAGTCTTAGCTTACCTCGATCGAATTTAAATTCCACCCCTTTTACCAATGACCGTTGTTTTCTTACTCGTATTTCTTTCCTTGTGTTGTATAATATGTAAGGTGAATAATATAATCACTGATGAACACTGAGGGACGCGCGCATAAAGAGCGCACGAAGACGACGTCGCCCGTCGACGTCGTACGGCATCGACGCAACCGCGATTAGAACCGACTGGTAGAGAAATGGAGATAAAAGGAGAAAGGAAACGAGAGACAGAGAGAGAGAGAAAGAGAGAAAAAATATATATAGAGAGATATAGATTTGAAAAAAAAAAATAACACTCGAGATTACTATCTCGGTGCACTAGACGACGATCGACGATCGAGATACATACTGCGAGACGAGAACATTATTATTAGTATTATTATTATTATTATTATATTATTATTAACAATGACAGTAACGATCTTTCGATTTGCATATTATTAATTATAACTTTTTCCTTTTTTCTTTTTTAATATTTATATTATGTGCGTATTTGCGTTAACGTGTGTACGTGTAACGTGTGCGTATGTGAAATGTGTGTACGTGTGTATGTGTATGTGTGTGTGTGTATATTTCTTTCACGCAGCCGTCTCTCTCGCTCTCGCAGATCCACCCCGATGCCGAGAACAGCTAGCAATGCTCCTACGTTTTGGTAATGTCGGTCGCTGAGAGTCAAGTGCACTGCGGGCGCCTGCGTCGATCGACGTATGTGTAAGAGAAAGAGAGAAAGAGAGAGAGAGTGAGAAAGGGAGGGGGAAAGAGTATGTAGAAGGCGAACGACTGCGCCTACGCCATTTTTTCGAACAAATCCGAAAAAATTAAGCCCTTTTCATATAAGTTCTATACAATGATAACGAGTAAGCCTAAGACGTTTTTCTCCCCTCTAACTTTATCTCCAAATTTCTTTTTTCTTTCTTTCTTTTATCTATCTAATTATTTATCTATATATCTATCTAACTATCAATCTAGCTTTCTATTCATTATATCTTTGGTTTGATTTTAAAACATAGTTTCTATTACGGGTCGTGCGTGTGTGTAGACTATAATATACATAAAAAAAATTATTATTGATAATATTCTAATCGAGTTAACTGTTCCATTTTTTCCTCTACTCGGTTCAATATCTAAAGTATTATTATTGTATTTTATTAATACATGTTGCTGCTGCTGCTGCTGTTGCTGTTGTTGTTGCTACTGCTACTGTTGCTATTATAATTATTACATTTAAAAAAAAAATAGTTTCGTTCGAGACTACCTGTTACCTTTTATCGATGAATTTCATTATTGGATAACCAAAGTGGACAATGGATCAGACCGTCATCCATTTTGGTTATATGCATTTTGTGTATTTTTATGAAACCCTAATTATTTTTTCTTTTCTTTAAAAAAAAAAAAAAAAAAAGAAAATAGAGGAACTGAAAAGAATAATGTAGAAATTGTCAGGTGAAAAAAAGAAAATAATTCGATTAGGTCTCGGATGTTTTATAGAAATAATAAGAAAGAAAATCCCTCTCTAAGATGTTAACCCTTTTCGCAAATCCCCACTGAGAGAGAAAGACAGAAAAAAAAAGCATGGCTATCTCTCTAGAGGGATAGCTTACCTGTCGTCTTACTACCCTCTACACAATCCTTACTCTGAAAAATCCTATGCGTTGGGACGCACCCTGGTCTGTGAATCGTCCCTACCCTAAAAGGAATAAGAATCCCTACCAAGACGGGGCCCACCACGACGAGTGGTACCGCGACTGGCACTACAAACAAGGTCGAAAGGGTATGTCGAACTCCGAATAAAGATGGCGGCGGCTGCCGTTCGAAGTTAGAAAAAGAAAGAAAGATAGAACGCAAGTAAGGGAGAAAGAGAAAGAGAAAGAGAAAGAGAAGTGAGACGCCATTAGTGAAAAGATGCGCGCGCAGTTTGAGTCGGGTAGCCAATAGGGTGGCTCAATTGTAAGGAAAATCAATAGCATGGTGTGACGTCAACATGTGCGAAGAAAACGCGATCGACCGATGCGACACGGGCGGCGCCGGCCAATTTCTATGGAGCAATCAATAAGTTACCATGCTGCCCACATTGTCGCCGTTGAGACACACGCTGTCTTCGTATATTTACTTTTCCCTCCTATTTTATATCTTTATCTCAATTTCTTTTTCTCAATCATCTTTGCTTTCTCTTAGATTTTACACCATCCCTAACAATAGCTCTTCTATTCTTCTTTTTATACTATAGATATATATTATCTATACTATATATATATACTATATATATGTATATACCCTATGTTTTATTATATATTTATAAAGTACTATTACTATATATTATATGTAGTATAAAATATCATTTGAATATATAGTACAAGATCTTTCTCCTCAATTTTACATCAACCCCCTACAGTTGCTCCTCCATTTTTGTTTCCATTTTACATACGCATATTATACTATATGTCTCTCTCTCTATACTGTATATATATTATATTTTATTATATATATAAACATATTTGAAATATAGCAAATAAATTAATTATTATAACTAAATTATCCCCAATCTTCCGTGACAAAAACTACCAAATAATATTAAATCCGTGACCTATTTTTTCTAAATGATATAAGACCAAAATCCATTATAATATGACTAATCTATTAGTCATCTTTTCGTTATTGGTATTTACCAATCTAATAAAAAAATTAATTTATAGTCAACCCTTATCTATTTAATCCTTTAAAAGTTCTCATATTCCGTTTGATCGAGTACCTGCTACCATTTACGTGACCCCACAAACAAAAGAAATAAAACTAAAGTTCTCCAATTTGTTTCTTTTTCAAAATACGGATTAATACTTGTTTTTTTACACAAGATTTATGAATAAACGCATATAATTAATGTACTTTAAATTATTTAATTCGAAAGTTGGATATTATTTTCCATCATAATCGAAACGTTTAACCTTTGTTAATCTCCCACACCATTCGATGACCCCTTCTTGCATTCACCAACGATAATCCCAACAAAGGGTGTTCAAGTGAAGGATGGGACGTATCCGCAGTGTCTGATACGAGAAACGCACCTTTCCCCCTTTCTCATACACACACACACATACACATATTCAAACATATAGACATTCCAAGTGTTAGAAATAATATTGGAGCATTTTTTTACTGACGGATTTATTCTATCACATTTTGCTTGACACATACCCACATATATACACGCACACATACCATCCCCCTTCACACACACGCATATTATACGTGAAAATGAATATATGGAGGTTGAAAAGGCAGACAGTTCTTAATTCCTATCAAATAGCTTGTTATCCTTGTCTATCCTATGGAATTGATCGAAAACATACAAAAGCTTTACGTGAAAAACCTATTCAATATTTTAATGAGATAAATAAAGAGAAAAAAAAATTTATGATGAAATAGAAAAAATGTACTGATACGATATCATTATTTTATTCACTTTACGAATAATGTGTATCATTTTATTCCGATTTATTGAGGGAAGAAAGTAAAGATAACATTTCTAATCGTAGTTTCGAATTACCGTATTCGTTTGATATCCCTTCGTATTATATAAAATATGTAATGTTTATTAGAACGTAGATATTATTATACATATAATAATAATAACGATTCTTTAGAATTTCTTTTTTCTTACAATATTTTCACAAAGTAAACACGTGTGTATATATACGTATTTGCGCTGGCTAGAATTGTTCTATTCAATCGATAATTTCAAGCACGAAGATTTATAAGCATGTAACACACACTATATAAGAACAATCAAATAAATTTTATACAATCATTTTGATTTTATTTGAATTTTTTAGAGACCAATTTTAACATTATATTATATCAAAAATTGGTATATTATTAATATTAACTGTTATAAAAGTTATTAAATTTTTTAACTGAAAAGAATATATTAAAAAGTATAAATGAAAAAGTTCTAATAAGAATAAAATCTAATGTAAAAATAATTGACAATAAATTTTGTAATACATGATTATTATTTATCGTATATATATATACCAAATTTTTTTATGAATTTTATTAAATAAGTATATAAATTGATTTGATTAGTAAAAATGTAATATTTTAATTTAAAGATTAGAAAAAGGACTATGATTATTAATAAGAATAATAAAAATTGATTGATAAAATAATAATAAATTAAAACAATGACGACACTTGTAGCATTGTCGTGCTACATACATATTAATATATATACATACATGTGTGTATGATCGTTATGCCGGTAGAGAATGGTTCGATTATCAGTTGTAGCTTTCAACAGCTATATATACATATATAGCATAGTCCCAATTACTCGAATATCGATTCTCTTGTAACTATTCCAAGTAGGAATCGTTGGAAACGTCGATAATTTGCAATATCTCGTAAATCCTGGTAATCGAGAGTGTCGCCTTTTTTCATCAGACTATTATTGAAAATTAAAATACAAACAAACGAACTTGCAAAAATATACAAAAGAGAATAGAATAAAAAAAAGAATAAAGGGAAACATTTTTATATCCAATCGATGTGCTACATTTTGAATGACTCTTTTGAATAGGATTAATGCAACGTTGTATACAATATATCGCGTTCGATAGTATGCTCCTAAATGTGACGAATCGCGAACCCGACCATCGTTTTTATTTGAGCTTATTTTCAACCTTGAGACACGCGCCATACTTTATTGCATATTTTATTACTTAAGTAAAACTATATTAAAGATGTAATAATAATTATGAATAATAATTACAATGTGTTAGAAAATGATCTGTAATTCTGTTTTTTAACAAGTTACTAACTTAGTGTAGAAAAAAATATTAAGGTGGTATTTATCATTGCGGTATTTTTAATTAAGAGTTAAAATATTTTAATTAAAATATTTGTTAATAGAATTTTTCAAAATTATACCGATCAAATAAATAATATAATATTAATAGTTATTTATTTATATCCGACAAAATGTAATAACTACTTAATTTATACAACACTTACTAATAAATAATAAAACTATTAATAGTTTTATTATTTATATAATAATACTATAGAAAATATTAATCTTTGATTTAATAAATAAATATTCAAAAATTCTCTTATAAATTTTTGTAGATATCAATTATATAAAAACATATTTCTATTCATTATTTTAATTTGCACAATTTCTGCCTATCTTCTTTGTATTGCTAACAATAACTTCATTCGCAGAACATTCATACTTAAACCTCTTTCTAAGTACGAAAGATCACGAGAAGAAAGCATGAATAAAAAAATGGTTGACCTGTTCTCATCGAAGACAGAAAACCACAAAACGGGAAAAAAATAAAAATAAATAAAAGGAAAAATTGTTGGGAACAAAATAGAAAAAAAAATTTAAAAAAGAAATAGAAAAAATATAAGCGGGCATGTTATTTTAATGAGTAGCACGCGCGAAATGATGGATTTTTAGAAAATGAATAAAAAAAAAAAGAAAAAAACTCTTTTCTTTTGCACCTTTCAATTAATGTGCGACATTTTTGCGAAATAAAAAATCGGTAATAAAACGAGAACACATAAGGTATGTAAATATATACAGAAATATTATATGTGTAAGGTTGCATTAGAGTATGTTTAGCAATATTTTAATGAATGTATGTGTATGTGTGACACCGAAAAGTAAAATGTTGAAAATTTTTTAAAAAATGGAAGTACCTTCCATTTTTCTTTTCTTTCTTTTTTTAATTCCCTACAAGTTAACCTACAAAGCATACAATTATTATTGCAACTCGATCTTTATAAAATCGATCGATAAGAATTTGTATATTTTTTATTATTATTTTTATTATTTACAGATAAATTTTCGCAATATATATCTGAGCTACCGTTTAATTTTACTTGGCGAGATGAACAACCGAGATAAGTTTTGTCTTGTTCAACAAGTCTGACCAATTAAATTACTTCCTTGTAAAGTCTATTTATTTAATATGAAGTAGATGAATTGTTGAAGAAAATATTCTTAATTAGAAATCTACCAGTCACAACCGTCTGTCAGAAATTTTTCTTCAAGAATTATTATTATGATGAATAAATGGTCTAACGCAAAGACCCCAATGACGTCATGGCATTGACCAGTGACGTCAGAATTTCGACAGATGACACCACCACCTTATATTTATTGACACTTACTTTAATTATAAGATTTCTATATTGTTTTTATTTTTTATTTTTAAACTACGTCATAGTAAACATTACATGTTGTTGTTGATTTTTATTAATAATGTTAATAACTTTTTTCACAATTAAACAAAAAAATTAAAATTTGTAAAACAAATTTACTAACTTATTTAAAATGATGATTAACATTTATATTGGAGACCTAAATACTTTTAAATAATGCAAGAATAATTTTATGAAATATTGATAAGAAAATTTAGTAACATCAAATTTATAGAATAAAGTTTTTGTGCAATTATATGAATTTTTATGTCATAAACAATTTCAGCATGTATTTCTAAACTTTTATTTATGCAATAAATGGTAATTTATCAATTTCATAAATAAACTATTAATTGAATCTATTAACTCAAATCTGATATTCCTAGACAAGCAGTGTCTTAATAAGAATATGAAAATATTTGTATAAAATCAATGCGTACTAAAAAGACCATAGAAACAGTAAAATATGATTTTTAATGTAACTCATTTAAAATCACACATACTTTAGTTTATTTTCTGTTTATGAAAGCTTTAATAAAATATATCAGTTAACACAATTCAATATTGATTAAATACTGTATACCTATCGACTTCAATGTATTGAAAGTAAAATAGCCATAAATGTTTTTTAAAGTAATCTAAGTAAAATAAATGAAATAAATATTCTTACAAGTTAATAAAATGTTATTTAAGAATTAACATCTTCTAACATGTATCTATCATTGTTATAATCATAATGTTAAACACAGATTTGACATTTGGAAATGTCTAATAATTTTTAGGTTAGGTAAACCTGTTAAGAATCACAGATCATTTAGAAAATAATTGTGAATAAAATTCAAATATTAGTTGAACATTAACAAAAGACAATCTAATTTCAAATATAGTATGTTCAAAAATACTTGTTTAAGATTTAATAAGATTCACTTTCAATTGTTTCACTGTTGATTCATCAATGTTTTTTTTCTTATCTTACAAAGAAAGATAATTGACAATGAATTTTTGCTTATACTCATGAAAATTGTGAAAACCCTACAAATTGTTCAATAAGTGTTTACTTACGTTGGCAGGACTTGATCAACAAACACAAACTTCTTTAAAACGTTCACATTATTTTTTTTTTTTTTAAATAAAAATAATTCTTATTTATACATATATAATGACTAATGACATTTAAACTTTTATCAACTTCAAATTCAAACTAATTTCAAACTCGAGCATAGACAAATCTTCTGACTCATTCTTCATATCCAATCATACTTTTTACGTATGACGAGACTATTAAATATAAAAGCACCTTAGGGATTTAAAAAACATGATAGCAAACCGCTTTAACCTTCTTTGGATCCGGAAGCAAGTTTCAATTTGAAAAATGGCGCTGACGCCACTAAAGATTTGAATTTTTAAATTTATTTCATTTCATAATTTTAAAATATTTCGAAACGAATTTTCTAATAAAAATATTACAACAATGTAAGTCACATGTAAATATAAAAATGTAATGTTTCATAATTAAAATCATATTAAATTATAGAATAAAAATGCGAGGCCATTGAACGCCCTTCAATTAAGAAGTCGTCAAGATATAAAATTAGCCATCACTTTTCTGAAATTGTTAATAAAAATATTTGTTCATACGAATAATAAATTCATATAGTCTATTTAATATTTTATTATTAATTATTTTTAATATTAATTCTTTCCTAATAAATTTGTTATTTTATTTATTATTTTAAAATTTAATTAAATTTCACGTATTCCGCCATTATAGTATTAAAAATAAATAACAACCATCATTCTATATATATAACAATATTGCATCTGACAATATAATCTCTGAAAATCGATAAAAAAGAACATCTTAATATCAAAAAATGTTATCATTTCATCAATAAATGATAAGAAGCTCAATAGATATTTGATATTAATTCGACTTTAAATCTATATTGACAATATCAATAAAAAAGTGATTAATAGAAAAAGGATGAAATAGTGAACGATCAAAATCAAATATAAAATATAGAAACTTATCTACATACATTGAACTTAAATTTGCGAACAAAAAAAAGGTATTAATTTACATATAATTATACTTACATTAATTAGAAATTCACAGTGAAAAGAATGAGCAGCAATGATCCTTTTCTTCTCTCACTCATCGACACTCACACACTGACATGAAACAGCTGAAATCCTCCAGCCATACTGTTTCTGGTTCCGCTACGTTCCTTCGGACACATCGACGTGCACGCTTTGCAAAGTGAGTCTCCTACTCGGCGGGTCAGCTAGCTTATGTCCCGATCGATTATCAAAACCACGTGTTAGAGTTCCCTTTTTCTACTTTAGACGAACTTCTTACACATTACCCATATCCAGTGTACAATCCATCCCCGCCATCTACAAACCCTCAGCTAAATCCAACATCCAACCCCAAATTTGTTAATTTTCTTATTTCTTTACTTTTCGATGCTCGCAATAATATTCGTATATATTTACATATTTAAATGTTATTCGTTTCAATTTTTAATTATATTTATAATTATTATCTTTTATTTTATATATAAATATACCTGAACTTTAACAAAATTTTATTATTCGATGACACTGTATTGATCGAATGAATTCAATTAATTGATTACTTTCACTATTGGAATTTTAAACACCCGCTATTATATTTTATTTTATTGTCGACCAATCACCTAATTGTGTTTGATTTAAACAATAAGAATTCGTACATAATGACAAGTGGTTCCAATGCAACCAATCGGATGCTCTGTTTACGAAGAACTTGTTTTGAAAGATATCAACAATGCCATCTAGTGTTGAAAGAATTAATACGTGTTACAGGACAACGCTGATTCGAAAGTAGCAAGATAGTACAATGAAGAAACGATAACTTGAATAAAAAATTAATATTATTAGACTATTTGGTTTAATTATATAAATATAAATACATATATTACTTTGTTGTATATAAAATTTACAATAATATTATTAATAATAATCAATGTGTACAACGTATCGAAATTGGCGTTGAAAAATATATTTTAATTTTTATATTAGCTAATAATTAGGATTATTCTCAGGATTATTTTTTATTACAAATTTGGTCTATAATATAATGCCGGCCCCTAATTTACTTAGCGTAGCCGTTATTTGCTCCAGTAATATGAACAGGAGTATGGAAGCACATGCCTTCCTAAGGTAAAAGGTTATGTCAACCACTTGGGAAAGATCTCGATAATAATAATGAAAAGATAATAATTAATTAAAAAAAAAAAAGTTAGATTAATCTATTTCAGACAGACTAACAACTGTTAACTACTTCTTTCAGTAAAAAAGGCTTTAACGTTAAATCTTTTGGTACTGGAGATAAAGTCAAATTACCAGGAAATGCTCCAGATCGTCCTAACATTTATGACTTTGGAACATCCTATGAAGAGATCTATAACGATTTGTTAAACAAGGATAAACAATAGTAATATATTTATCTCTGTTATATTTTATTATTTGTCGATAAAAAATTTTTATTTATATGCATTCATAATAACTTAATCTCTAATTTTATACTTTAATTATATTATTTTACAATTAAAAATGTAATAACTCAGAATTCCTGTATCCTTAAATTTTTAATTGTAGAAATTAATTGTTTTGTAATGAAATACAATAACCTATAATTATTTAGTTATACACAAAATGGACTGCTACACATGTTGGATAGAAACCGTCGGATAAAACCTAAACCTGAAAGATTTCAATTATCAAAAGACAAATTCGATATTTTAATCACATGTGAAGAACGTGTATATGATCAAGTAATCGAATGCATGGAATCGAGAACTCAAGAAGACAATCAGCCTGTACATCTTATCAATATTGATATTCAGGATAATCATGAAGAAGCTACAGTTGGATCATTTCTCATCTGTGAATTAGTCACTGTGGTATTTACAATTCTTATTTTTTATTTTTGTTTTTTTAATCTTCGTTTTAGGAATTCGAGTAACTCTTTTCTACTAACCATCTTCTCACATTTATTGAATATACCAAAAGCCGAGCGTCTTTTTATCGACTCTCTGGAATCAACAGTACACGATTTTTATCTTTTTTTTCTGGATTCGTAATGGGTCACTCATTCACGTTACTAACCATACTCACGTTGCGTGATCAATCGGGAGCTAGTAGTAATCCAATGTGCCTAAACTGTTTATATACTCTCGTGATATCAATTTTGTTACTGTTTATATTAAATGATATTTATGACATGTGATTTTGTGATAGAATTTATGTTTGAGTTTGAAAGTTTACTAATCCCAATTTCATTCATATAAGAATTTTAAAAATTGCCCTTTCGTTTAAAGCTATGATGGGGTACAAATATTCATCTGACTCATTGTATTTATTATATATATATTTATATCTATCTCGTTTGAATGTTTATAATTATTATATGATATATTATTTAACACGGTAAACCCTACAAAACAATGCCAGTCTCTACGAACTAGCTTTAGATTTTCAGTTCAGGCTGTGACGGTCACCAATGGCCAACATGTTTTTTATGACTGATAAATTATTGTTACTTGAACAGAAAACTCAATAAAAGAGGTTTAATGTTTAACATATTGAAAGATATATTAACATGTTTGTTACCAGTGTCACATTTCCATGATACATCGATTTCCATCGACAATCTACATCACACATTTACAATAATATATATAACATATGTGGTAAATGAAATAATTTTTGAACTATAATTGGAATTTCTTCTTTGTGGCATAATATCAAACGTGTTAATATATTAATTATTCTTTGTAATTTATTTATTGATATTATTATTTATCTCTAATATAGTTAAGAAAAGAGTATTGTACATATAAATAATAACAAAACTTTTTTTTCTTTTCAGTTGGCTAACAGTGAAGACTTAGATAATGACATAGACGAATTGCTGCATGAATTTGAATCGAAATTTGTTAGAACAATTTTGCACACGGTACTTTTCTACTAAAAATGAATAATGCTATTATCAAATTGAAAGGAACTGACGATGTTCTTCGAATCTAATTTATATAAAAATAACTTAATTATGTATGTAATTTAATTATCCTTTTCTGAATTTATTGATCTGGATATTTAAGGATCATAATTATGAAGAATGATAAGTGCTTCCTATTTAAATAATTAAATCATTTTCGGTTAAAGAAATTTTATAAATCTTGCATATTTATATAATATGTATAAAATTTATAGCGAATATCTGCGCCAAAGTATCAAATTGTATTGAGAAATAGGATGTCGATGTATATATTTATGTATATATTTCGACTAAATATTAGTCTGAATAAACATAAAGGTTACAAAAACGTAAAATAACTTTATTATAATCTCTTGTATATGGAGCAATTCATACAAAGTTGGTCGACTTGTAAGGATGAGGCATGAGGAACGAAAATTAAAAATATGTCGCATAAAATAAAGACATGACGTATATTCTTAAACCAATAGATCATAAAATCCTTTTATCCACCGCTATTATGTAATCTTAGAAAATTCGATATGATAGCCGTATATTGTAATTTACAATATTTATTATACACATAATTTATTCATTTTTTATATGATTTTATATAAAGTGAATTTTCATTTACTTAAAATTCAATAATTTTTGTTATTTAATCAATGTATTAAAACTTAGCCAATACCTAAAACTAGAAAGATCACAATTTATGCGTTATATTTTTGTTGTATTAATGTTGATCGAGATGACTGTATAATCTTCTAGCTTTTTCCCGTTTCTTTTTATTACAATGTTTGTTAATTTTTTTCCATGGCTTCTCCTCAATACAAAGATTTTGCATTGAACCAGCAATTGAATTAGCTGCAGAACCAGCTATAGCACTAAAAGTAATAAATATTTTTTAACGTTACACACATACACACACACACGTACATGCATACATACATACAAATGATTTTATATAATTTATATTATTTAAAAATACTTACTTATTACTAGCATTCTGTGGTAATCCACGTGCTTTTCCAGCAACACCTCTAGCATGAACACCAATAGATTGTTGTCTTAAAAATTTTTTATCCAATTCCTCAGACGTAGTTTTCTTCCCTCCAATTATACGAGCCATTCTAGGTGTTATATGAGTATTTTCTGTTTTAATTCTTCGTGGAGGAGGAAATTGGTGATATTCATTTTGATTTTGCATTGGCGGAGCAACGCAATATAAAAGTCTTCCATTTACAAAATCTTTTAAAACGTAACGAGCAGTTCGTGGATTATCTGGTTGACCATTCTGTGTCATAAAACCTCTGCTATCTGAAAACGAATTCATTACACAATAATATTTATTATAATTTAAATATAATTTTCTTTCTAAATGTAAAAATAAATTATTAGATGAGTAATTAAGAAATAAAATTGAATTGAATTTTTAATAACAACTTACATCCATAAGCATTTAAAAATTCTTCTGCAGTTGGTGGTCGATCTGGATCTTCTCCTTCTGCTGGTATAGGTAGCATAATTCCATACATATCTTCAATTACATATTTCGGTATCAATGTAGCAAGTAATGTTACCGGTGGAACGTGATCTCTCATTTGATCTATCGGTAATATGCCATTTAAAATCATATCAGCTTTAGTACAAACAAATGATGGCATTACTAAGCCAGGACAATCGCATAAAAGTAAATCTTTATCTAGATATAAAGTTTGGAAATGTTTCGTTTTGCCTGGAGTAGCTGATACAGAAACTTTTTTGTATTGTAATAATGCGTTAATTGTTGAACTTTTTCCAACATTAGGATACCCTACCATTCCAATCGTTGTAACTCCTTCCATATATGTTTTTTCTTTATATATTGATTTAAATAATAGAATCAGTTTATCTCTGGTTAATAATTCTGAAGAATTTTGAATCAATGATTTATTTTCTACGAGCTCTGGCACTTCATCATCTTTATCTTGTATTTCTGTATTCTTCGTTAAATTATTCAACGACTCTTTATCTTGTTTTTCTATATTTTTTGTTACATTATGCAACAATTCTTCCTTATTTTCATCACTTTCATCACTACTTTCATTAATTTCATTACTCTCATTACCACTTTCATCATCACTCTCATCATCCTTTTCTGCATCAACAGAATCTTCAACATCTTCCTCGGATTCTTCTTCAATTTTTTCATTTTCCGCAGCTAATTTAGCAGAAAAGAATGCAACTCTCATATTAATACTCGTAAAATATTCTGCCCACGATTGTCTTTGATTATCGGTTAAAAAGTCTGCCTTATTGATAAGAATTAAATTCATTTTCTTAGGATCAATCTCTTTAACATAGTTTTCCAAATCTTCACAACGGAATAATAAAGGATTACGTGCATCGACAATTTGAATGACAACATCACTACGTTCAACTACTCTCCATAATTGTCTCCAAAATTCTAAATTCTTTTCGTAAGGTGTAAGAATAAGGCCTTCGGATTCTTGCAACGCTGCTAAATTACGTCTCCATTCTAAAAATTCTTCTTTCTCTTTAGCTTGTAAATCTTGTGCTGTGGTAGAACTATCCCACTTGGGTCTTCTTGGTATTTTAAGAAACCCTTTATGTTTCTCATGTTCTTCCAAAACTTTCTTTTTCTCATCCTTACTCAATAACCCAGGCAAATTTTGTAAATTAACAAATTTAATGTTTAACTTTTCTGCATTGAATTCTGTTCCGGCAAGATCTGCAGTGGCTAGAAATTCTTCAAAAGAACTTTGCTCGGTAACCGATTGAAGATTTAGACATGCCCAATCGTATCCATCGTTTACGTTTTCTGAATGTAGCTTTAAAACATAAATTATTATTATTAATTGGCTTTTAAAATATAAAATGAAAATTAAATTACACAAATGATCTGAGTATCAAATTGCTATTGAGATAACCTCAAAATAAACATTTTTAACACATTTATGTTGAAATAATCTTAAAATTGTTTATAATTATTAAAACCACGTAATATAATTAATATTAAATATTTTATATTAACACATGTTTTAATCTATTCTAAATATGTAAAAGTGTAAAAATATAAACATATTTTCTATTATGTTATTACCTTAGAAAAATCTCCACGAAATTTTCTAGCGGTGGAAGAACCAAAACGATCTCTGATCAATGATTTTCCTAAATTCTGAACTTTGTTTTTCTTTCCCATTTTAATTATTTTTGAAGAATGTTTTTCTATAAATATTGCACAACATTACACTCTCGTATGCATCAAATAATCAACGTGATTGTTTGATAATTTATCAGGCAGATGGCGCCACGGTTGATGTTTACTATTAATCGAAACACACAGTGAATATATCTACCGACTATTATCGATTTATCGAAGTAATTGACAGGACGAATTAAAAACCGATTCAAAAGGTGAAAGAAAATATGCATGGAAAACAAATCTCTGTGATATTTAATTACAATCGTCGTATAAACATAAGGTAAATAATTCGTCATAAGCGTGACGTATGAAATGAAAATAAAATACAATAAAAATAAAATAATATTTAGACAAATAATGAAATATATTTTACAAAAGTTATTTCAATTTCAAAATGGAGATAAATTTATTTTAATATATATGATATGAATAAAAACAAAAAATCATAAAATAAATTAAATGAAAAATATTAAAACGTATAAATATTGTGATCGTGATTGTAGATATTTATTGGTTGGGTTGGGTCATTCATTGATCGTCAAAATGATGACATTATACTGTAATAAAAAGTTTTTCTAATGTATCTAATAACACGTTTATAATAAGTATGATGACTATCCTTCAACGTTGGTATTGTATTACCCATTCACGTTTCAATTACTTTGGAACTTTAAGTGTCACCTGTAACACGCTTAACGTCCTCGAACAACATATACACATAAATATATATATATAAATATGTGTATGGTTTTAAAACGATCGTACAAGTCAAATAAACGCGGAAATAGCTGGAACAAAGAACGAGATGAAAGAAACGTGAGAGTCAAAAGAAGGAAAAAAAAGGAAGAAAGAAAGAAAAAAAAAGGGAAAGGGATGATATGAGGATAAACGGGGAAGTGGTAAAAGGCTAAGGTGAGACGGATGATGAAAAGAAAAAAATACAGAAAAGAAAAGAAAAAGAAAAAGAAAAAGAAAGAGAGAAAGGTATATATAAAAACGATTCCAAAGGCAACGCAGGTGGTAGACGAGTGGAAAAGAGAACCCCTCGGTATTTCTCCCTTTTTCATACAACACCTACCTGTATCTATACCTAAATTCCTAAAAGGGAAGAAATATAGCAAAATAAGAATAAGAGTAAGAAGAGTAAGAACGAATAATAGACGAAGAAGAAGTAGAAGAAGAAGAGGAAGAAAAAGAGGAAGAGGAAGAGAAGAGCGAGTTGTTGTACGGCACCGGTTGCATTTGGCAGTGATGCAACAATGAGAGACACACGAGAGGGGAAAAAGATGGACACGGTCATAGGAAGGACGGTGGCTGTGGGAAAATAGGGTTGGGCACGGGGTGGCGGGGACGCATGCGTCGACCCGGCAAAGGGCTGTTATGTCGCACTCTGCCGTCAGTTCGGTCAGTCGTCGTGACAACCTCGTTGATACCGTTTCTCTTATTCTCGCTCCGTTCGCGTTTCAGAAAGAGAGAGATCGTCGACTTTAACTTATTCTACTTTCTTCTTCTTCTACTACTTCTACTTCTATTTCTACTTCTTCTATTTCAAAGTAATTCGTAGATTTGTTGTTTTTCCTAATAACAATCATCTTTGTATTTTTTTATGCATACGTATATAAATATATATATATATATACACGTGTATATAAATATATTAATAAGTTTTCTACCGTAGGAAAATCTTTAAAAATCGATATCGAACTTCTCTCTCTCTCTCTCTCTCTCTCTTTCTTTCTCTTTCTATCTTTCTCTCTCTCGCGCGCACGCACACGAGCAAGCCGGTAATCATCGACAAAACTATGACGTGTCGTAGTGTTGCGAAGAAGTAAAGGAGGGCTCCTCCTTTTCTATCTTTCATTTTATTTATTCAATTAATTTATCTAACTAATCTATTCATCTTTGACTATTTTCTATCTATCGTTTCTCTTTTACTTTTGTATAATAAAAAATTGGTCTTTTTCTTTCTTTGTCTTTTATCTTTTCTTCTTTCTTTTTATTACGCTACATCAAAATCGTATTGAAATAGAGGATGAAGGAAAGTTTACTACTTCGCAACATTCACGAATGGCGAGTGTAATTTGTGGGTTTTCCTCGTTTTGTGAGATCCGGACAGGTGTGTGCTTCGTAACCCTTGGCAATACTTTATTGGTACTTTCCCCTTCCATTGGTATGTATCCACATACATAGTTATCTAGATTACATTTGTTTCAATGTTTCATTATGCTACCCTATGATAAGGAAAAAATTACGATGAATTTTTTTAAATTCATTTCTCGTTGAAAAATGAGATTCTTCGCTTTAAACTGAATTTTTTTTCGTGTGACGTATTTAATCGTTTCGTAAGAATTTTCTGAATGAAAATCGATTTGTAATTAAATGTTTCTTTTCATTCCATTTAAAGTTACACTTTCTTCCTATTTTCGACCATTTTTATTTGCACGGGGAAAAAGAAGTTCTCTCTTTTTTTTTTATTTATGCTTGCATCGTTACTTTCTTCTACTTTTTTTTTTTTAATTTTTGTTTTTACTCGTACTACAATAAAGAAAGAAAGAGAGAGAGAGAGAAAAAGAATTGCTCGAGAAATTGGATAAACTTTCGGCTTACTCGAGATAACTACACTCTCCGGGTAGACGGCACTGAAGTATGCATTAACACTTCAAAAAAAAAAAAAAAAGAAAGAAATAAAAAGGAGGTAAAAAAAGGGTGGAGGAGGAAGAGGAGGAGGAAAAAAAAGAGCACTCTCCGCGTTTTACAATGAACGCGCGCGGAACGCTTCCAGCATTTTTCGAAATTGTCACGAAATCGCAATTAACGATGTGCCAGGACAGTTTAAATGTTGTACGCACACACTTATGAACGCACGTAACGAATACGTGCAAGTATTTAAACTAAATGAAATTTATTCATTATCAAATATCCATCTTTATCATTATAATTATAATAACAATAATAATAATTATTATTATTATTGTGAATATTGAATAACAGGATACGTTATTTTATACATATATCTTTGAAATTTATTTGTCGAACGTTTAAATTTGGCAAGGAATGAAAATGTTCCGATAAACCATAGCAACAGCAGCGACCGGTGGTGGTTGACTGGTTGCTGGCTCATGGATAACATCGGAACAGCTGCTAGCCGAGGCCTCTACAAAATTCTAATCTTCCGGGCACGTACATATGAATGAAATCATTCAATCCTATACAGACACACACACACACACACATATATATATATATATATTTATATAAAAAGAAAACTCTCTTATATTGTGAAGAGCTTTTGCAAACGTTCACATAAATCCATTCGCACGATCAAAAATTATCCACACGTAATTTGTATTTGAATATTTTATAACAAATGATCATCTCACGAATGTAAATGATAAATTAAAATGTAAATTTTTAACTGATTACGCGTAATATTTTTGCATCGTGAATTACTCGTAATTTTCGTGAAATAATTCTCACGATGAAAAATTACAATATTTAAATGTACGAATGATCATTATTTCTCGGATGACTTTAATGGAGAGCGTATACTTGATAAGAAAAGTGAAAATAAATATTAAGTATGATCGTAATTCTCTCATGCGATGTGAGTTTATTTCATAAGTGTTCCCATAAACTGATTCGCACGATGAAAAATTAGACACATGGTCTAGATAGATGGTACTTGTATTCAAATTATTTCTTGATTCATTGAATGGGGTGTTGTCGATATGCCTAATGAAAATTAGTATTATGCGATGACATCATTTTCTTATAGTGTGTGTTCTTTTTATGGTTTTTCTCATAAACCGATTCAGATAATTTTATAAATTTAGATAACAACTGCAATTCTTTTGCATTGTGAATATTTTTTATGATTATTCCCATTAACTTATTCGAACACAATTTACAACATTTAATGTATTCAAATTATTTCTTGAATAATTTGTTTACCTGGGATCCAAAATGAAAATTAATATTAAATAATAATGGAATCTCGTTTACAATGTGAATATCTTTTACGGTTATTTCCACAAACTAATTTAAAAAATTTCATATCTAATACATACGTTAAAATTATTTTTCGAATAACCAAATAGTTGATAATCTAAATGCAAAATAATAATAATAAATATTATATGATACCGTAATTTTTTGTTACCACAATGAATACCTTTTACAATATAAATACCATTAAAAAAACAGTCATACAATTTTATATTTTAAAACAAACAAAATAATAAAAATAAATGTTTCAAATAATGAAATGAGAAAAATATCCGATCCTATATTGAAAATGAAATAAAATATTGCAGTACAACCATTTCCATAAATCGTGAAAGGTACAATTTGATATTGCAAAATAAAATTATGAGACATAATTTCTCGAATGATTTGTAATAAATGAAGCAGTATATCGTCCGATATTGAAAATGAAACAAAATATTAAGTAATGACGTATTTCCTGTGGAGAGTGCAAATAAATGGGAGTCCATGTCGAAGATGTGAAGAGGGATGGATAGGGAAAGCAGTAGCAGCAGCAGTAATGGGGAGGAGGAGGAGGAGGAGGTTGTGGGAGAGATGGGAGGAAAGGAGGGAGAACGGGAAAGTAGCGGGATGAGGGAGAAGGAGTGAAAGAAGAAGTGGGTACGAGTGAGTAGCGTGCCGGGGTCATACTTAATGCAAAAAGCGATGCTTTTTGCTACTTGTCTCTGGACGAGTGGGAGTGCCTGCGAACACGAGCCCTGACGAACTTACCGGAACGAGCGCAGCAAAAGGTTGGATGAGAAGAAACGAATAGAAAGAGAGAGAGAGAGAGCAGGAGGAGGGGGAAGGAGGTAGAAAAGAAAGGAGGATGAGAAGAGGTGATATACTATGCGAGTTGGGGAACCCAGAAAGTCATGGTTCACTTACAAAATCGTTAAACGAAATTTATATAAAACGTGCTCTTTTCAACCCCACCCCCCACCCAACTCTACTTTACCCCCTCCATCCTACCACCACCATTATCGTCATAACCATAACTACCTACCATAGTGATCACTGTTGTTCCTTATTAGGCATACTTACGTGGTATGTCATTCTGCACGTATGTACATTATTGTATATGTATGTATGTATCTGTATGTTTGTGAGTGCGTGTGTGTGTTTCATATATCGACAATAAAAAGATCATAAAGATTCATTTCAGTCCTATTCATTGGAGTCGTAGCTATTATACAATACGATACAACGTTTGCGCACACAACGTTACAGTTGGTTCGCGTTGAATTAACTTTAAGAGATGTAGTATAACCTACTATGTATATATGATATGTATATTCGGGTTTTCGTTAGTTTCTATACATAAATTTGTGCATTTCTCGTGTATTACATATCTTATTAGTATTTCTATACCAAACTTGTAAGTACATTTGTGCATGTGTGTGTATAAGTATCTCTTCTAACTAGATATGCATATTCGTTGATGATGAAGAGATTTTTTACATAAATTTTTTATTTAATATAATAATATTATGCTTTTAGTATTTCTTCATCTTTTGGAATGGATTATTTCGGTGGTTCCTTCGATAAAATTAAAAAGCATCGCGTGTGTCTCTGACACACTTGAGTATTCTTTAAATAACTTTTACCGATCGATTCCACGAACTCGAGTTTTATTTTCGTTAACCAAACCGATCGGCGTTTTTCTTTACGTTCTTTTAGAAATTATCGAATATAAATGATAATTTATTTTATTTATGTAAAATAAATATTATACCTATACAGAATATCGTTAGGGTTGTATTACATATACGTTAAAAGTTATCGAATTTAATATTTATTAAATTTTCGTTTAATAAATACACATACAGGATTGCATCAAATTTTTTTCAGGGTTACGTCAGAGTTGTTTTAGAAATTATCAAATATAAATAATATTAATTTCATTGTACATAAAAAAAAATACATTTACCATTTTAAACATAAGTCAATTGATATTACTAGTCATTCAATTTTTTTATTTCTATTTTAAAAGCTTTGGTAAACTTTGTAATATCGAAAGACAAAAAGGAATTTTATTTGCATGACTCCAATATTTATAAATTAAATTGATATATTTTAACAATACCCTTTTGTCAATTGATTTATGGACTGTAGTGCATATAAATGTACTAAAAAAGAAAGACCAATGTTTTAATTTAAACTGGAACATTGTAAATGTAACAACTAATGCAAGTATACATACATTTTAAATGATCTTTTTTTTCATCTCTCTCTCTCGTTCTCTCTTCTTTCTCTCTGCCACCCCATCAAATATTTGATCTGCTTATTCAGCTACAGTACGCGAAGAGCAATATTGTTCCGACGAGTAGTAGGGGAGGGTGTACAGTGTTCGGTTACTCTCAAGGTAATATATACTTCAACAGTGTACCACTAATAATCATGCTACTCAAAATCATTTGTTATTCAACCTACAAAATATTTTTCATCTCAATTATATTCCATACAGGTGTATCTATTATATATGTATATGTGTACACGTGTGTGAGTTACTTGCAATCAATTTTATTCTAACAATACCATTGTCATCATATTAAAATCTAGAAATCTAGAATGTTGAGTCTTAGAAAATCGTTTGTTGCGTTGGTTTGTTCCGATTGTGGTTTCACGATGTCGTCCCAGTTCGAGGCCATGCATGTATATGTTACATGTTCTTTGTTCAGAAAGAAAGAAAGAGAGAGAGAGATTACACCTTGCTGAGGTAACTTTTCATACTCCATTTATTTTTTTCTAAAGATTATCCTTGACAAACATACTTGATATATGACGATGTACATATATCGTGCATGCATTTAGTGTGTCAGGAATATTAAAAACAAAATAAATATCGAAAACCTCGAGTCACAAATATTTCTATAAACCAAACAATAAGATAAAGTATAACAATTTGGTGTCATGAATTTGTAGAAAGGTTTTTCGATATTTCTGTGAGACAAGTCGAATGAAAAGTTTTTCCCTTTTTCGAATCAGTACACTTCCTTTGAATACTCGACACTATTCCTCTCTGTCTCTCTCTTACACACTCTGTTTCATTGACAAGGCTTAAGAAGATGATGTAGTCGACTTCTCGAAGCTTTCATCAAAGCACGAAATGGGTGACAGCCCAAGGGAATAAGCTCTGAGGTGGAT